TATGTCCGATTCCAAATAAACCGGGAACTTTTTACTGTGTTGTGTTAAAGACGTCATTCTGTTTACTAATTGGTTGTTTACATGACACTGTGTAAATAAAGATACATGTTCACACCAGAGTTCTGTGGCAATAACTTTACTAAAAAATAACTGGTAGCCTTCCTAATACATAATAATAAAAAACAGACCTACCACAGCATTTGGTTTAGCCTTTAGACTGTGAATATGGATGAATAAAAGTAAAAATATATGAACAAGACTCATCCTGTGATGTTTTATTGAATAAGAGTGGACAGTTCTTGCATCAGATTACCTTCCTCTGTGATGCAAGCTAGTCCTGTGGCCTGTGACCTAAAGGAATAAATTCATTAGACTTGCTGTAATAAGATTATCACCACTTTTGATGCTCAGGGTCTCAGGAGAGACTGACCTTACATGTGCTAGCGCCCTATTGCATATAGATTAAACAACATACACCTTACAGCAATCATTTCACCTTACAGGTTATAATATTGTTAAAATTCTGCAGCAGTTGAAAGGCTATGCACAATACAAAACTTTGAGGCACAAGAAATAGGCCTGAAAAAGTGGGGATTAACTATGATAACCTATGTCAGCGACTCAAAGGTTGAATTAATGGGGCGTCATATGGGTGCTGCCCCCATGTGGTTACTACACAATTACATATACATCACAATATTCTTTAATATTTTTTACATGCATTGAGGAATGCATTGTAACACTTTTTAAAAGTTTCACAAACAGGAGACACTTTTATATTGAAATTTTCTTAATTAAGCAATGCATAGAATGGAGTGTATTGAAAATCTGAAATAGCACAAAGTTTCCTGTGAGGGGTAGGTTTAGGTGTAGGGTTGGTGTAGGGCAATAGCACATACAGTTTGTACAGTATAAAAACCATTACGCCTATGGGATGTCCCCACTTTTCACAAAAACAAACCTGTGTGTGTGTGTGTGTGTAAACCTACACAGCAAGTTTAGGGGGAAAAATAGAATAATTATCGCTTCCAGTTCTATACATCAAAGTGTGATGCATAAATCTCACAGATGGTGTGCAATAAATTTGGTGTACAAGACATGAAGAATATTCTGAACCCCTTGGCTCCATACACATAACTCATAGAAAATGGCTGAAAACTGCTGTGGGAATCACCCAGTGTTTCGACATTAATCTGTGAGGAAAGACTTCGGTAAATGTACATTTTAGCCTTGATCTACTCCAGTGAGAAATGGTACATTATAAGGTATTCATTACTCCCCAAAATCTTTGTCAGTAGACTGAAGAGCTCAATCACATCACATCAATTACAAAGAATGTCAGAAAACTACAAGCACATCATTCCTGTTTTAGAAGCGTTGACTGTGGATAATTAAAGTGCAACATAATCAATGAGTCACTGACCTCTATATCAGTGGCTTAAGAAATAGTAAATTAGTAGAATAGCTAATCATTCATGATTTGACACATTTTTCTTTCAAATAGGCTGCTCTGATATAATGGCGATTAATTTGCCATAAGCTCTAAGTGAAGTTACTGAAGGAGTCACACCTTTCAGATTTTTGTTTTTTTTGTTGCTTAAAACTCAAGTCTGAACTCAGACTGAAGGTTTTAACATTAAACTGTTAAAAACAAACTTAACATTGCAGCAGGTGTCTGGCATGTCTATATTTGGCCCACAGGTGATATTCCCCCTGCAAGAACATCTGGAGCAGTGCGTAACGGGTCTCATCTGTAATGCCTCAGTGAAGCTCCAACTCAACTGAAGCCAACAGAAGACCATTAAAAAAGAATTAGAGGTTGGCATTTCCTTCAATACTGCAAACCAATTAAAAAATATGTGACCAGTTACTGCATATCCAAAAAACGTACATTGATATTTACAGTGTTGGGGGTAACGCATTACAAATCTGAGTTATGTAATCAGATTTTGTAATGCATTACTTTTAAAAGTAACTTTCCCCAACACTGGATATTTAAAAGACAGATCTGTCAGAGCTGATGACCTTATGAACAGTGCAGTTGACAAAAAAGTCCTACTTGCTGCATCAAGAAAAATAAATGTTCTGCATATGACTGAAAGCGTGCTAGTGCTAATGAGTAGTTTTTAGGTTTGTACCATTTAGGGGTAAATGTATTAAAAACACATAATAGTCTAAGAAACAGATATAAATTCCCCCATTTTAATTTTCTTAATATTCAACATCAAACATTGAGTGTAATTCTGTGCGTCTTTTTGATATCTCAAAGTCTAAAGACCACATAATATTTTGCAACAGTGTAATAGATTGAAATGACAGAGCAGCATTTGTGCAAAATTATGGTGGACAGCTGTGAAGAAGCCCATCTGTGTCACAATGGTGCTTCATTAAATCTTATGGTGGAATTACACACCTCATGTCTCCTCACTATTGACATAGAGTACAGACCCTAGAAGTTCTTATATAGGTGAGAGAAATTAGTAAAATGCATTTGAGGGACCATCTAAAAGCTGAAAATATGAAAGCATCACATGACATGGCTGTGTGGAAACTAAAAATTACAAATGCATTGCATTCAAAAAATTTATAGTTGCTGTATTTACAGTAATGGCAAAAAGTTTTGGCAGTGACATAAATTTTGTGTTTTGCAAAGTTTGCTGCTTAGGCTGTTGTGGTGTTCATTCACATTGTTTCTAGATTATCGTGTATAGTGATCAGATGCATTTCGGTGTTACAAGCCTACAATGCTGACTTCATTGTCATGTTTGAATCATGGCTTCAGACACCGTCACGTCAGGTACAGCCATCATCGCTTTGCATTAAAATGGCCTCACATGCAAGGAAATTGATACAAAGAATATTGCACCTGAAAGAACAATTTACCGGATCATCAAGAACTTCAAGCAGAGAGGTTCGACTGCAGTGAAGAAGTTTTCAGGACGCCCCAGAGTGTCCAGCAAGTACCAGGACCATCAGCTACGGAATTGTGTCACCAGCAGTGCAGAGCTTGCTCAGGAATGGCAGCAGGTTGGTGTGAGAGCATCTGCATGCACAGTGAGGCCAAGACTTTTTGACAACGGCCTGGCAACTCCCCGGATCTCAATCCCATAGAGAACCTGTGGTCAGTCGTCAAAAGGCGAGTGGATAAGCAGAAGCCCACAAACTGTGATCAACTCCGAGAACTAATAAGGCAAGAATGGATCACCATCGGTCAGGATTTGGCCCAGAAGCTAATATCCAGCATGCCAGAGTGAATTGCAGAGGTTATGAAGAAGAAGGGTCAACACTGTAAATATTGACCCATGATATTTTTGTTGCCAATAAAAGCCTTTAAAACTTATGATTTGCTTATCATTGTTTTTCAGCATAGAGACATGTGGGAAAATAATCTACAAATACTGAAGCAGCAAACTTCGCAAAACACAAAATTTATGTCACTGACAAAACTTTTGGCCATGACTGTATATACTTGCAGCCACTACAAAAATTACACCACTACTTAAAAAATAAGTTAATAGGTAATTAAAAAGATTTTAAATAAATAAATAAAATAATGAAAAATACAATTTGCACAGGTTAGCTAAGCTACATGCATCCAACTAAAATGTTTCAATGTTCCATGAATGATGACTATAACATTTTTGCCATTTTTTTTTCTACTAAATTCTATTATATTCTATTAAAATTACTGGAATAATGTTTGCTCATAACTTTGAGAGAACCTTGCCAGAACATTCCCTGTTAGCTGGGTATATTGCACATTTATTATAGTAAATTTAAGCTATAGATAAATATTGGTCAAGAGCACCATTTACTATGTGACCCACAGAGAAACATGAGGTCATTTGGAAAATGTAAATGTAGCTTAATATATAGAGAATCACTAAAATATAAAACAAACATGGACAGACTCCATTCCGACACCAGTCTGAAAGTAACTGAACATCCAACAAAAAGACAAGTTTGGATCAAGTCCTTATTAGGTCCCAAATATTAATATTCTTTTCTTCAGTGTATTTCAAGAACAAATTAGGAACAAATACAAAAAACATTTAATCTGTGTAAAGCTTCAGCAGCATCTTAATTCACTCAGCATGATCTAAAACCATAGCTATAAGTTCATGGTTCTTGTTGACATTGTGTTTTGCCATTTTCCTTGAGTTTGTGCTGCAGGTAGTTCAGGTACACTATTATCATGCTTATTCCCTCAGGTTTGCCTTTAGAGTCAGAGCTGAATTGCTCATCAAGATAAACCTATGCTGCCAAACTGGTCTCAGTCCAAATCTCCTGTGGCCTGACTATCAGAGCACATTTTAGAGTTGAGCATTGAGAATCTGTCATAAAAGACAACTGTCTATCACAAAACTGTAGCGTGTTTTCAAAACCTGACACTTCCTGTTGAGAAAGGGCAGAAATAGAGACTAGATGAAAAAAGAAAAGAAAGACAAGAGGGTGTATCAATGGATGTCCATTGAACATTTTTTAATTAAACAAGAGGGACTGAGCAGTGAGCACACAGACAGGCATAAGAAATGATCTCATGGGAAAGCCGGTGATGTTTTAATGAATTCTACTGGGCATCAGTCCAAGCTGTATTTCATGTGTTGTGACTTTGAACAGGTGAAATCTTTTTGCCTTATACTTACCTCATAGATGCCCTAAAAACCTTTTTGCACCCCTCAATTTGATTTGGATTACACTCTAAGAGAAAATGGTAGAAAAGCTGTCCCTGGGCCAGTATTCTTTTAAAAGGTACACCTTTGTTACTTATATACTCCTTAAGGGGTCAAATATTAGGCCCAACTTAAAGGTACATTTTAGTACCTAAATGTACCTAAATAGTACCTAAATAATGTTCCAGTAACAGCTTTTGACCGGTGTAAATGTAGCAGGTGTGTATTTAGGAATTTTGTGATTCCACTTGCCATGACCATATTTGGGGTTTCCTGCCGCCATGCTGACTTGGGGGGTTGGTGCACTTTGCTGCTTCCCCAGTCTGCATGAGACGTCACAGCGGTAGGTCGCACAAGTTTTGCAGTGATTCAATTAGGGCCGTATTTCATGTAACAGATGAATTCACATGATATATCTGTATGATTGTGATCTAAAGACCCTATGTGATGCACACTCAGATGTTTCATTGATTATTTTTCTTAACTTTTCTTTAAGTTATCAACCCATCGAACAAGCCTATCTGTCTAAGACGCAACTGCAAACTGGCTGATGTTTACACCTGCATGGCGCTTGAAGATTTTGATGTTGACTGTCTTGATATGTCATTTCAACAGGTGAAAGATCTGCAATTTAATGAAGTGAACACTGAAAGATCGGCAAATTGCAGTAGTAAACTGTGCGAGATGGAGAGACAACCCTACATGCACTATGAGAAACTGCGTGAGGCCCTGGATGACATGGAGGAGCGCGACATAATCAGAAAGTCAGCGAGTGATTATTCGTCACCTCTGGTGTTAGTCTGGAAGAGGAATGGTGATCTGAGGCTGTGCACAGACTTCCACTGGCTAAATGCGCGCACCGTTAAAGATGCACATCCTCTTCCGCACCAAGCGGATGCGCTTGCAGCTCTGGGCGGTAACGCATTCTTTTCCACAATGGACTTAACATCAGGTTATTATAATGTGGAGGTGCATGAGGATGAAGATTCACAGCTTTTACTACGCCATTTGGTCTCTACGAGTATAACAGGCTTCCTCAGGGGCTATGCAATAGCCCTGCGACGTTCATGAGGATGATGATGAACATATTTGGCGATCAGAACTTTATGAGCATGCGGTGTTATCTCGATGACATCCTCGTTTTCGCCCCCGATGAACAGCTTGCTTTGGAACGACTGGACATGGTTTTCCAGAGACTTCAGGCTCACAATTTGAAACTGTCTCAAAAGAAGTGTCATTTTATGAAACCTTCCGTTAAATTTCTTGGACACATTGTGAGTAGTGAAGGCGTAGCTACAGATCCTGATAAGGTCAGAGCGATTGTTGACATCACAGAACAGGATCTTATGGAAGATGGCTCTGATATTCCATCACAGACAAAAATAAGGTCATTCTTGGGGATGGTGGTTTTCTACCAGCAGTATATTGAAGGCTGTTCTCACATTGGTAAACCCCTTTTTGCATTAACATCAGGCATGAAGAAACCGAGGCATGGAAAAGGACAAAGATGTGCGATGGCAGGCAGAAAACTTACATCTTCAGACTGGACACAGGAATGTAGAGATGCATTTAATGCCCTGAAACAAGCTTTGCTGGAAAGGGTTGTTTTGGCTCACCCAGATTTTGGTAAATCCTTCCTGCTGTCTGTTGACGCTTCTAGTAATGGACTTGGTGCGGTGCTTTCTCAGGTAGGGGTGGGTGGAGAAGTTGCTCGCCCCATAGCCTTTGCTAGCAAGTCACTTAATTATGCCCAATCTAAATATCCAGCACACAGGCTAGAGTTTTTTGCCCTCAAATGGGCAGTCTGTGACAAATTTAGTCACTGGCTCAGGGGTCAGCAGTTCTCTGTGTGGACAGACAACAACCCACTGACCTACATTCTTACGAAGCCCAAGTTGGATGCGTGCGAACAGAGATGGGTCGCAAAGCTTGCTCCATATAATTTCGACATCAAATACATCCCTGGGCCTAAGAATGTAGTTGCAGATGCCCTTAGCCGTGAACCGTTTGTGCGACCCAGTGTGTTCCACCGACTTACCAGAGTGCCCTATGGTGCTCTTTTGGAGGAGTCTCAAGTAGTGAATCCAGAGAATGTCCAAGATGTGTTCCGCTGGTCATGTCACCCTTTGAGAAACAAGCACAAGAAAAGCTGTGTTCAGATATTGAAGTGAATCATGTTGTTTTCTCTGAGAAATCTTTTGTCTCTCAGGAGGACGTTTCTGCCATTTTGAACAGCAGTAAGCAACAGGAAAATCATGTTCGACCATATGCTTACCCGCTGCCACAGTTGATTGGGTCGATAATTCCATCTCCGCTATTGGATCATCCAGTATTGTCAAGGCAGGAGCTGATAGAATTACAACATGCTGATCCTGTTCTGAGCAGAGTGTTTTATTTTGTGGAGCGCAAGCGTAGGCCATCTAGGAGGGAGCGGAGCAAGGAATCACCTAGCGTGCTTCAGTTTCTGAGGCACTGGAACAAACTGTCAGTCAGAATGGGCTTATTATATCGTGTGTCCAAGGATGTCGTCACAAAGAATAAGACTTTTCAGTTTATTGTGCCTGCTGCCCTTCGAGATAAAGTGCTTAAGGGAGTACATGATGAAGCTGGACACCAGGGTCAACACAGCCCAGTCTGCATGAGACGTCACAGCGGTAGGTCGCACAAGTTTTGCAGTGATTCAATTAGGGCCGTATTTCATGTAACAGATGAATTCACATGATATATCTGTATGATTGTGATCTAAAGACCCTATGTGATGCACACTCAGATGTTTCATTGATTATTTTTCTTTACTTAAGTTTCTTTTTAATATCTGTAATTTTCTCTTTCTCAGCGTCGTGCATTGCTGCCGCACGCTGGTTTATATGCTGCACGAGTCCTCATATATATTCGTTTGTGTTATCCAGAATAAATGAGGACCTGATGGAAAGAATTTTCGCATATTCATTTGGGCATATTTCAGTTCATTTTATCTTAGGAATTCAACCCAGTCACCATCTTTTTAAAATGTCCATTAAAAGAAACGGCTCCTTCATTGACATGTACTTGAAAAGTTACTTAGTCAACAGAATGTCTAAGTGGAATGTCTAAATAAGTGTCATTTTTTGTTTGTGAATCGGGTCACAATGCATGTTTTTGATTCACTAAAACTACCTCATAACAATCATTTGTTCATGAACCAGACTATGATGTCATGCTTAGTATTTTTGATTTACTAAAAAGAATCCACTTATAACAGTCATCTGTTCATGAAGAGAACATCAGAAAGAGGAACCTTTAAAAGGGTCATATGATGCGATTTCAATTTTTCCTTTCTCTTTGGAGTATTACAAACTCTTGGTGCATAAAGAAGATCTGTAAAGTTGCAAAGACTAAAGTCTCAAATCCAAAGAGATATTCTTTATAAAAGTTAAGAGTCAACCACGCCTACCTAAAACGACTCGTTCTAACACGCCCCCACATGTCTACGTCACTGTCTGGGAAGATTTGCATAACGCCGCCCAAATGTTCAAGCAAAGAAAGGCGTAACTTTTATTCTCGCTGTAAGTATTGTTGCAGCCGCCATGTCGTGAAGACGCTGTGTGTGTCGTTGTAAAACCGAAACTACTTTGTTTGGCCTTCCAAAAGAGGACGATATCCGCTTCGTCATGCTTGGAGCTGATCCGTGCTGGTCGCTGAGGAAATACAACAACTTTGCGCTGTGGATCACCGGATCGGCTTTCACCGTTTTCACCGCTGACTCACAGACTGTAAGTACGTTTTCATATTTAAAGGATTTGCCACTGATGATTCAAACGCGAGTTTTGGGCAGTGTAGAGTAACGCTTGTTGTTTGTCATTTCTCCGATCACAAATGCAGACATGGTTTTATGTTTACGCGGCGAGATGCAATGCAACGTGTAAAAAGACAGTATAAGTCATTATAATCCGTACTTATGTCCCCACTGGATGCAACAAATGCCTCGTTTATGGGTTTTAATGTTTTTGTCTCGTTGCTCCAGCTGGGACAAGGCATCAAATCGACGCGTTTCAGAAAGTCGGGGCATAGAGGAGAAAAAATAATGTACAGTATGTGGAAAATAATGTGTTTTTTTAACCTTAAACCACATAAACACATTTCATTACACCAAATACACAAAATAATGTTCTTTTTAGCAACATCAAATGACCCCTTTAAAGGAATAGTTCACCCAAAAATATAAATTAGCTGTTGATTTACTCACCCTCAGGCCATCCAAGATGTAGGTGACTTTCTTTCTTTGGTAGAACAATAAAAGATGATTTTTAGCTGAATCTGTGGCCCTTGGTGATTCATAATATGAAAGTCAGCAGGTGTTGTGTCTTTGAGGGAAAAAACCTGGTACAAGAAATCTCGAGGATATCTGTGGTACAAGAAATCTCGAGGATATCTGTGGGTTACAGGTAATAATGTTGTAAATAATGTTCAATTATTAATGTTCAGTTATTAAAATTAAAACAGAAATAAAGTTTGTGTTTTTCCACTGATTATGACAACTAAAATCCATCATAAACCACAGACAATCACGTACTATACATTTTACAGACTCTCCCCCAAAGCAGCAGACTCCTGAGGGAGTAATTTAGGTACTGTCCTTAATTTAGGACACTTAGCATTGTACATGAACAGTAATTCATCAGATCACTCACGATAAGCTTAAATACGTTTGTAAATGTTTTAAGTATCATTAAAAATCATGCTAAAACAGACTGTTCGAAGATACATTTATGTATTTATCATGCAGTATGTTTTTGTGTCGATGGTTGAGGCACACGTAACACAGCCTCAGGTAAACCGGCGTATGATGCATGATTCAACTGAGACTCAATTCCCACTGATGCTTCTTATAATAAAACACTCGTTCTCATCGTTATAGCTTCATTTTCAAGTGCTAATTAAAGGAAATTGGCAGTGACTACTGTGTACGGTAATGGGGCACTCTGACTGCTTTCTTATTGGGTATAATGTGCTATTAGCATAGATTTGAATATGACAGAGGAGCATGTGGGGAATTTACTGCAGAGAGGGAAAAGCCCAGTTTTGAAGTCTGACTTGGCAGTTTAACAGATTATAATACAATTAAAACATGAGTCAACAGGCCTGATGAAGTCATTCAATGGAATAATTCTCTGTAGTGTTGGATCATGTTCTATTTGCATAATATCATGTATAGAGAATATACAGTTGGGTCCAAAAGTAATGGAAATAATAAGACTGTTTTTTTTTTTTTTTAAACATCAGCTTTTAAACAAATTTGTGGAGTTCATGCAGCTTGAGTACTGCTGTCATTAAACACATCAAATACTAAGAAATACAAAATATTACAATAATAATTAGAACAGCAGCACTATTGATCTCAGACTTTTGAATGCTGCTTTAAATGTATTTTCAGTGATTATGATTTTTTCAATTTGTCCATCTTTTTTATATAGAGGAACATAAGACATGAGAGAGAAAAGTGACAGAGAGAGAGAGAGTGAGAACATCTATTGTTATTACAAAGGCAGGTTCATTGCTATCAAGAAGTTGACGTCATTCTCTCTTATCTTGAAAATTAAGTGTGCTTTGATATACGTGTTTCATGACTTGATGTCATATTTCTTTCCTTGAGAAGGGAAAGGCTATATCAAAGTATTTGTATTTAAAGGGGTCATCGGATGCCCATTTTCCACAAGTTGCTATGATTCTTTAGGGTCTTAATGAAAAGTCTATAACATACTTAGGTAAAAATGAATGATTCGCACGAACATAGATGCGTTTAGGCAGATCGGGGACGCATTCCCTTCAAAAACAAAAGTAAGGTTAACGTTAATCCTCTGCGTCTTCAGCGGCTCAGATGTCGGGACTAAATGAAGACTGCTATGTTCATTATTACATCCAACAACAAAACACCTCAATTGCTTAATCGGAGACATTCTTGTCTTCCCCTGCACCAGAGTCGACACAATGGCGGACAGCTCACAGCTCACTCAGGGTGGGTCTAAATGTAAGACGGCCTTGTCAATCAACTATCGTGGGAGCGGCCTGTGCAGAACTACGTCATTCTGACAGGACTCTCAGAACAGCCTGATTTGAGACAGGGGATTTTAAAATAGGGATTTTTATCATTATAGGGTGGATGTGTACACATACTTCCAACACACATTTATGTTCAAACAACATGTAAAGTGAATTTAGCATCCGATGACCCCTTTAAAAACAATATATGGCAACATTTGCTTTCTTATTCCATCGAAACAACCTAGCAAGTTCACTTTTTCAATAAATATTGCAAATATTTTAAAACAAAGCGAGTGGTGTAACAGATGGTGCTGTGGAACATTATCACACAGTACCTTAGCACCTTACCCATGAGATCTTATTTCAGTAACAAATCCCTTGTTAATGAAGAAAGATGTTGAAAATGCACAGAGGCGTTGTCATGCTATAAAATAAGTTACACATTACTTTATTTACTATAGGTGTATCTGACTTAGCAAAATCCAGTTAAATGGGGACACATACTTTTGACCATAATTTATATATTTCTTTTTATTTGTCTTGATATGTTTTTATTATATTTGTTGAATTATTGGAAAAGACATGGCAGGATGTAGATAAACAAACAGAAGACCATATCCCACATGCTGTTAAAGTTCTTAAAATGTGAGCAGGAAAAATAATATGTAACCTGCATGATGAATCACATATACTTCTACCCTACCACGATTCCACTTTAGAAATTGAGCTGAATTTATATTGACCTTGTTATTTCCAGTTGTAATTTATTATTATAGTTGTTATTTATTCATTTGTCTCTGCTTCAGAAACACCGGAATGTACAAATAACATACAACTGCACTGTCATAAAACAGTTATTAGGAGAAGCCTTTGTATGAATTAATCAATACACATGCAGGAAAATCTAAATGCGTGAAGCTGTAGCGAGTCCTCTGAGATAAATTCAGCTCACAGCATTCATTTTGCTGTAGGTGTGATAGGAGAGAGTGGTGTATCACACATTCATTTTCACACTTATAAATTGAGAGTAAACATTTGACATGAAATAACTTATCGTTCTTTAATTCAATTCAATTCAATTCAAGTTTATTTGTATAGCGCTTTTCACGATACAACGTTACAGCAAATTACGTTTCTACAATATTTAGTGGTAGCTTATCAGTGGTGACTGTCAGTTAATGTACTGGGAGCCAAATGCGAAAAAGCTCTACCTCCTTTAGTGGACTTAGTCCAGAGTTTTGCGACCTTAGGGAGCGTGATGGATTGTAGCGTGGTAGAAGACTAGTTAGGTACGCAGGAGCTAACTCTTTACATTAATTGTGTGGAAAACCTTAAGCAGAAAACCCTTCCTAAAAGCTTTAGAAAATTCTTTCTGAAATGTTGTAAAGTTCGCACATTCGTAGGTAACTGATTCAGATTTAGACCACTTCTTTTGTCTCCTGTATCACATTGCAGAATCGCGATTGCTTGCATACAAATGCAACTGGTGCCACCCTGCATCGCAGCTATCGACTGTAGTGAAAATGACATCCCTTCTCAGGATCTTAGCAGGCCATTGGTGTCCAACTGAAATCTACAGTTGAACTCAGAACAGGACAACTCCAAACATAATTAAACACACCGGAATCAGCTAATCAAGCTCTTCAGGATTACTAGAAACTTCCAGGCAACTGTGTTTTTGGCAGGTTGGCACCAAAATCTGCAGTCCTCCAGAAGCAAGACTGGACACCCCTGCAGTAGGCTATTATTATTACTGTTAATATTGTTGCAGTGTTCGTCTTACTTCATTTTGTAGGCTTCATTGTGAACTAGTGGAAGATTTAAGAAAAATATACAGTTAAAATGATCAAATAATTTCAACTAAAATCCACATTTAATGTCCACATATTTATTTATTTGGT